CGAAAAGGAGAAAGAGTAAGGAAAAGGACAAGGGGGTAAGAAAAAGGAGAAGAATGGAAAGAAAAAAGAGAAAGGAGGAAAGCAAAAGGAGAGGGAGGAAGGGACAAGGAAAAGGGGAAAGAAGAAGGGGTGCAAGGAGAAGCGGGGCGGGAAGGGGAGCCGAGGCCCTCAGGAAGAGCAGGGGGAAGAGGGAAGGAGCAGGACGCCGTTTGCCGGGGCGGGGGCCGGCCCAGCCGCTCACCTTGTGGTTTTGGTAGGAGGTGACGGCGATGAAGGCGGTCTCCGGGAAGACGTGGGTGCAGAAGGCGGTGTTCTTGGAGCCGAAGCCGTTGTTCTCGTCCGCTTTCACGATGTGAAGCCGGGGCTGGTATTTGTGCATGGAGTTCAGGATGATCTGGGCAAGGGGAGAAGGAGAGAACACCCCGTGGGAATGGAGCTGGGACAGAGCGGCACAATCCCCACTGACCGGGGGAGGGGAGGAAGTGGGGAAGAGGGATGCCCTTCCCAAAAATCTTCACCCTTTTCATTGAGGAGGGCTGATTTAGTTGCTGGGGTAGGGGGACATATCTGTGAACAAACCCCATCGCTCAAGGAGCCCGCCAGGGCCAGGTGATGCTGAGAAAGGTGATTCCTCATCCAGCACCCCCAGCCCCAACCTTGGGCTGTGCTGCTCTTTCCCCTCGCACCCCCGAGGGGCCCGGAGCTGCTCCCCTAACAGCTTTTGACATCCTGAACCTGTTGCTGGAGGGCTGGGGAAGACTTTTCGCCTTTCCAGTCCCTTCACAGACCCCTAAACCTCCCAGCTCACCACCACAGAACATCACAACCCCTACACACCCCAGCGGGGCAAAGAGTCCAGAAAGAGCGAGGGAAAAGGAGGACTGGAGAGATTTAGGGACACATCCCCCCCGTCAGCGACCCACAGAGGATGCGAGGAAGAGGAGGGTGGCGGAGGTGGGGAGGGATGAAGCGCTGTGTTTGAGATAAAAAGCGGTCCCTGCTCGGTACCGGGTTAATCTCGGGGGAAAATGGGGGGACCGAGGAGGGGGGGCAGCGGCGACGGGGGGCCGCTCGGTCACGATAATGACTGCCGGACCCTGGCGACAGCGAGACGCAGCGCGTCCCGCCGCCGCCTCCCCCGTCCCGGGGGTTTAAGCAAATTGCTTTGACATCCAGGAAAGTCGTAGACATCAACGGTGAACGATCTAATGGTTTTTAATTTCATTACAGCGACTCTAATTGAGAGGCTCCTGGCGCAGCTCCTCCTCTGAAGTCCCTTATTGTCCCCTCAGCGTCTTCGGTTTGTTTAGAGGGACTTTTTCCCCACAGCCGCCTGTTCCCAGCGGGGATGCCTGGCCCCGTCCCCGCGGGCCGGATCCCCCCCTTCTCCAGGACTGCTCCCCAAAAGCACCCCGGGGGGTGGGATGGGTCCCCCCTGGCTGAGCTGCTCCCCTCCCTCTTCCCACAGCGGGTGGAGTGGGGAAGATCCTGATCCCTGGAAAGCACCTCTTGCAAACCTCTTTTCCACTAGTCCAAGGTAAAAATTGAAATAAAACTAAAATAAAATCAAAATTATAAAAAGGAAAGGGAAATCAACTCCCCAGCTGGAGGTGCAAAGGAGCGCTTGGAAAAGGATGCTCAGCACTGGGGTGGGCAGGGGGTTCGGCTGGCTGCTCTCCCCAACCCCCTTGTTCACTCCTTAGCGTCCACGTGGGCAAGAATTTAATAGCACTAAATTTATCGTTAAAAAGCAAAGGAAAAAAAAAACAACTTGGAAAAAAAAAAGAAACTGAAGTGTTGAAACGAGACTGGAGAAAAATACGCTCTTGGAAAGGGATGGTGGGATCTGGATTCACATACCCGCTCAATTATATATATATTTCTTTTTATAGATATATATACATATTATTCATACACGCACTTATATATTTGCTCAGAGGAACTCGCATCTTTGGAGACCTTCGAAGGAGGGCTGTTCCTGGCTGCAGAATTCACACTAACTTTCACAGCCTCACGAGTCTCGCAAAGTTCTTTTTATGTCCAAGAAGTTCTAGCGGGACTTCAATTTTTTTTATTGTCTTTACTGATTGTTGCTTTTTCCTTTTTTTTTTTTTTTTTTTTTAATCGAACTATCCTCACGGTTTTAGGTCCTATTCTCTCCAATAATTATGCCTGATTGATTTTACCTGTTAGGCAAATTCCCAGAGGCAGTGAGCAGATTTTTAACGATCCGAGGCTCCCCGTGCGATTAAAACCAGGTAGCCAAATGCTCAATTAAGCCGGGCGAGTTTGACCCACTCGCGAGCTCCAGCCCACGGCGTCTGTAATCAATTCCCACACAGAGTGGTGAAATAACCCGGTTTTAAGGTTTATGCTCCTACTTTCGGGGTCCTCATAGGGGTTCATCCCACTCCGAGAAGGAAATGACACCCCACCAACACTACGGATTCGGGGGTGGGTGACACAGCCTTGGTGGCGCTGGCAGGGGTCGGGGGGACACTCATGGACACACCGTGGGGCCCCGGTAACCCTTCTCCCACTCCTGGTACTTACATGTCCGAAGGGATCAAGGTGGTTGTTGGTGAGTTTGAGCTTCTGGAAGGAAACCAGCTGCCTCATCCAGTGGGCACCGGTAGCCGGGGAGTCGGGATGCACGTACAGTCTCCCGGGCATGGCCGGCTCTGCCTTCCCCGTCACCGACCTGCGTGGGGACATAGGACTGAGCTCCGGGCACGTGGAGGCTGCCCGTGGGCTCCTGCTCCCCATCAATCCCCTCCTGGGGTCCCTCCCGGGGGCTCCTGCTCTCCCATTCCATCCCCTCCGTGGCCTCCTGCTCCCGATCCATCCCCTCCCGGAGTCTCTTCCGTGGGTTCCTGCCTCTCATCCATCCCCTCCGGTGGGATCTCTCCCTCTCAGGTGCGCGGTGCCGGACGGTCACGCCGTGCTTGGGGAGAAAAGGTATTCCAAACACCGCTCGGGGAATTACTGAGCTCTTTGGCACCTTTCCCGTCGGAGATGGCTCTCGCTGCTTCCCCGTTTAACCCCATCCTTCCTCCTCTCCCTAATTACCGGGACTCAAGCCAGGAGCAAAGCACCAATTCTTAGAGATTTTCCCTTCCTTAATATAATTGAACTATCGGCTCAAGGATCGCCAACAATCTCATCGTCAAACAGGAATAGTTGTTCGCTAACTGCGAGACTTTTCTTCCCTTTTTTATTCTTTTCTTTTTTTTTTTTTTTTGGATGCGTTGCTCTCCTAAGGAGTGTGGGAGCATCCCGTTACGCTCAGGTGAGGCTCCTGCAGCCCAACATCTCCCTTTTACACGGGGAAAAAAAGAAGGACGAGCCGCTGATTGAAGGATATCTCCCCACCAGGCAGCCCGGAGAGCCCGACACAGAGGTCTCCTCCCTCCCCTTTCCCCCCACGCGTGCATACCATTTATTATCTGCAAATTTGTATCTGTGGTCATCCGCTGGTACAATATCCATCAACAGGATGTACTTCGTTTTTGGATTAAGTCCAGTGACCTTCACTTTGTAACTGGGGAACATACGCCTGTTTAAAAAAAAAAAAAAAAGTAAATAAAATAAAAACCAAACAAACAAGTATAAAAAGCAGTGAAAAGCAAGTTTGCCAAGGTGGTTTCAGAGCGTGTTTGGGGGTGGGGGGAGACATAGAGGGGGACACTTAACAAACGGGCAACGCCACCCTCTCAGATGGACCTTCCCGAAAGGCTCGGGCAGTGCAGGGTGCGCCCTTCCCTCGGGGTGCAGCACATATTTGGGTTCCCACTCCAGGTCCCTACCGAGGCCAACCCGGTGATTTTTTCGAGACAGAATCGCAGTTTCGACGCTGGCAGATTTATTTGTTCACCTATTCATGTGCCTATTCGTGTTTTGACTAATTATTTGTTTCGCCAAGGCTTCAAGTCCCCCTTTGTTGAACAAATCTGACCGTGAGAACTTTTGGAAACAAGTTACTTCCCTCTGGCCATAAGCCTCTGGAACAGGAGGGGAGATTTGCCAAAAAAAAAAAAGTTTTTAAAAAAGTTACAATATAGATATTTCTACAAAAGTATATGTATTTTTATATATTTCTTGAAATACATATATTTATAGAAATACATAATAATATATATATATAGAAATGTTTACGTTTAAATTCGTATATATTAACCACTTTTATGTCTATCGACTGTTCTATGGGCTGATAAGGAGAGGAAAAAAAACCCTCCACGCACTCAGGTGTAAGAGGAAATCTATGTGCAGCAGTGAGCGCCTCCCGAGACACCAGCAAACACACCTGACAAATCCTTGGAAACCCTCGGATACACACAAGACAGGGGCTTTTCGAAATATTTTCCATTACTGCAAGGCAGGGACTTAAAACACTGCTGTTATTTTAGTTTGAGCTTTCCAAATATTTAAAAATAAAGCAGATGAAAATGTATCCCTGGACTTAAAACACGCATAAACAGAAGAAAAAGAAAAAAACCTCCACACCTCTAAAAATACTGAGCTCTTCTCCGAGGCTCGGGATCTTATCGCTGCCGTGAGGCACCTGGGCTGGGCTTTAATTCGGTTGTAAAAAGCTGAGAGGGGGTGGAAAGCGACCAACGGAGAAAGTGGGGGTTGAAAGTTAAAGTTTTTAGGGAGAAGAAACCAAATTCCACCTGAAGATCTTTCTGTAACTCCGCCGACAACACCTGAGCAGCAGAACCGTGGATTTCGCCAACGATAAACAGAATTCTATCAATAAGGAAACCTATCCCGTATCTCCCCTCGAGCCCCTGCACTGTAAATGTCTATTTTATTGCTCTCCAGATGAGATTTCTGTCCACGGCGATATTTTGTTTGAAATTTCTGCAAGGTGGTTTCTGTCTCCCTGCGAGACGTTTTTTTTTTTTCCCCTGTGAACTGAGTTTTTTTCGGGAGGTCCCGGCACCGGCCTTATTCCACCCCCCCCCCCCCTCCTTCATACCACGTCCTCTTGGCCACAAACCCCTTCTTTAAAACCGATTTTTCCAGCAGCAGCGAGATTCAAGGGGGGAATGCGAGCCATGAGACAGATCTATTCGCTAAAACTTCATCCAACCAGCTCCATATTTTTTTTCCCTCCCTCTTCAGGCAAATTTTGGAAGACCACAACAAATACCAGATGACAGAGCAAAATGAAAGTTTGACGCCGCGTTGTTTATTCTGCCCTTACAATCTAAAAGTACTACTATTACTACGAGTGGAGAGGAGTATTTTTGCCTCTTTCTCCAAGTATTTAGATTTAAAATTACAACGAAAAAGCCTCCCTCGGGCTGCCCCTAGTTTACCGGTGGGACTGGAGAGACTCTTTCGCTGGGTCTCGCTGGCCACTCTTCAATTTAAGAGATTAATATTAAGGATAATGTTAAATCCCCTCCAACACACGCTCATACACATATAAATATCTGCAAATCAGGTTTACTAAGCCGGCCATGGAATCGATTATAGCCCCAATAAAGTTGGATTTGCAAGGCTGTAAATTTTTCTACACACCCACGCAGATAAACATACATATAGAAATAGATGCGTCCGCAAATAAATAGCATGTGGATCTATCTCTGCATCTAAACAGCTTTGCTATCGCTATATAAACAGTAGCTAAAGACCGCATACACTTTTAAATGGGGTGCGTGGGTGTGCTGGGAATACACACCTCAGTGTGAGCGAAATAAATAAGAAAGGCTGTCAAACAGCATAAAATATTTTAAAAATGCAGAAGGGCGTATCTGCTGATAATAATAATAATAATAATAACAACAACAATAAAATTAATAATAATTATAGCCCACCGAGCTGCTCTAAACAAGGTTTGTTTTTGGCCAAGTGGTTGCAACTCGCGTTCTCCTGGAAAGTTTCCAAAGGCCTGAAATTGGGATTAACGATCCAACTGTTCTGGTTAAGAAAGAAGCCACAAGAAACAATTTCTGCCGCATATATCCGGGCAGGGAGGGCTCTCCATGGCCGGGCAGGGCTTTGAGGGTGCTCTCGGTCCGAGGTGGGGGGGGGGGGGTCTCAGACACGAGAGACGTGACTGTCGCAATGTCGGGGAGGTGGACACGCACCCCCATCCACGCGGCAGCGATTTTCCCCCCGCAAACACGCAGGGGAACGCGGACACCCCTCTCCTCTTACCTCCCGGCCTTTGTTATGATCATCTCCGTCCCCACTTCGTGGAACTTCAGCCACAGCTCCCGTTCGTGCAAAAACACCTTGATGCCCTCCATGCCCTGCGGAGGGGGAGGCACAGAGCGTCAGCCCCGAGCGCTGCGGCGACAGCCCCGGCGGGAAACTCGGAGGGAAAAGGCCCCGGAGCTCGGGGCATTCCCGGGAAAATCCTGCCGCAAAGCCGGGGAGAGGGGGATTTCAGGACGGAGCACTGTGATGCCGCTTAAGGCGGGCCTGGAACAGGGTCCTGCGGGCCTCGGTGCTCCTGGGGCGGGGAGGCGATGGGAGGGAGCCCCGGAGCCGGCTCCGACCGCATCCTCCCAGAGCAATCCCCCAGCGCTTCGGCCCAGCTGCTCCCAGAGCCAGCCAGAGGAGATTTATAACCTCCCACGAGTGATTTACACCCGCTGGCTGCACTCTGCAAGCCAGAGCGGCATAGGGTGTTACTCTGCTCCCCTCGCCGCCTTATTTTCTCTCTTCCCCCCGGCCCTCACCACCCAAAAACTGAGAGCCCCCTGGTTGGGGCGGATGCCATCGCTGGCACAACACATCCCTGCACCAAGCCAAGCACAGAATTCCCCCCTCTAAAAATGGAGCCAAATCGCCCCGTCAAACGCTTCGAGGGTTGGTTTCCAAAAGCAAACGGTGGGACTAGTCCCTGTGCCCACTCCGGCCCAGCCGAGCCTCATGCCCGCACCCACAGTGGGTTGGGGCATTACCTGACAGGGGCTCTCCCGGAGGGCTCCACGGCCGCCGAAGGAAAGGGAATCTCAGTGGAGAAGCCCCTCTCCCCACCTTCCTCCCCCCCACCACCCCCCACATTCCCAGGGCTGCCCCGAGCCGTCTGGGGCCGAGAGCTGGGGGCCGGCTCCGGGCACCGGGATCTCCCAGGGAAGGAGAAGCCGAGGGATGGCCCGGCCCGCTGCCGCCTCGTCCTGCCCTTCTCGGGAGTCCTCCGGGAGCTGCAGCCGGTGGGTCCCGCGTGGGAGCCCACGGGTGTCCCGGTAGCACGCAGCGCCGGGGGGAGGGCGAGAGCTGATGGAGGGCATGAGGGACACCCCAAGGTGTGTGTGGTCCCCGGGTCGTTGCGGGGATGCCCACGCGTGACAGCACCTGCCTGCCCTCAGTGTCCGTTGCGTGGGTATGGGCTGTATCTGTATATGCCTGCCTGGGTGGACAAGGGGCACGTATATATACAAACAAATATATATAAATTTATATCTTACACTGTACATTTATATCCTACACAACCACGCACGGGCACAGCAAAGATACATTCTGTTCATACGTGCATTTGGACACCCACGCGTGGGCGCTTGTGGGGGTGTGTCCGCCGCTGCCTGAGTGGGTTCACCTCTCTGTTATTTTGGGTGCCTTTCCCTGCGTGCCCCTCCACGCACCCCAACATTCACGCCCGCACTTCCCCGCAGGTTTAGCGCTTGAGCACGACCTTAAATAACACTCAGGCAGGATGAGGCCCACGATCAGGTGAGGCTTTTCGCCCCCGTGGGGCCTAAAATGACTCAGCCACCCAGTTGGGGGGAAAAAAAAAACGGCGGAGAAGAGGGAAAAATAACACCAAAATGAAATAATGAGGGGGTTGAGGAAGAGGAGCGCGGGTCCTTACCTGCTGGGTGAAGGCTGCTTGGGGGGACGTGGGGGACTTGCTGGTGGCGCCCAGCTGCGCGTCCTGCTTGGCTTCAGCCTGGAGCTCCTTGGCCTCCGAGTCTGCCGGCGTGGTGGGGAGCCCGAAGCCTTCCTCGCCATCCGCCATGTTACGAGCTTCCTTCGCCGAATCCCCCACTGCAGGCACACATCGGGGAGAGAGCAGAGATAAGAGACGCATAAGTCAACGCTGACGTTTAAGAAAATAGATATATTCCTATAGCTCCGCTCCGGGGAGCGAGTGGAGCGCCGGGGCAGGGCTGCCCGGCAAGCCCGCAACTCACTTCCAGCTGCCCGGGGAGAGAACGAGGCCCTTTAACTTTGGGAGAGGGAGAAATAAAGACTTTTATTTATTATCGCAGCCCGCAAGGGATGATAGGATTTGGGGGGGTGGGGGTGGGGGGGGTGGAGAGGGAGGGGAAGGGGGAGGCGGTATTATTGAATGCATCTTTTGGAAAAGGTAAACAGCGTATTTTAGGGCCGGCTGGCAGGACACGGGGAACAAGGCACCCGAGGGGGTGGGGACCGGCCAACTCATCACACAAATGACTCTGGAGGTCGAGGGGTCCGAGGTGGGGGCGACAGAGCCTCCCCTGTGTCTTGACCACCTCCAATCCCCCCGGGTTCGCTGAGGCCCAGGGGTTTACAGTCCCCACTTTCCTCCCAGGGGAAGCGGGAGCTTTCACCCCACTGCAATTTCGACTGGGAAAACACCACTGACACGCGAGGCCGCTTCTATCACCCCATTTTCAAAGACAACACAACCTCTTTCCTCTCTTATAAACAAATAAATAAACAAATAAATAGAAAGGCTTCTCTCCCCTTACCCCGAGCAGTTGCAAGAAAAGGAAAGGATGGACAAGATGACTAAAATACATAAAAAATAAATCAATCGGACAAGACACTGTGCAAGGTAATGTGCACTCGGCTGGTGAACGAGGAGGTGGAATCGGGGCTGAAGTGAACTAAACCATGACATTTAGGGTAAAACTACACCAGCGGAGTAAAAGAGCTTAAAAAATTCAAGGTTTCTATCTAATGCGAGTAACCGCAGTGAGTTTTAAAAGCAGCATTTTGACTTAGCTTTAAAGGCTCTATCAAGAATCGAAAAAGTTTCACAGCAGCTCCAAAAAAAAAAAAAAAAAAAAAAAAAAA